CCCCCCCCCTTCCTTTAAAGCTGGGTCCGCCCCTGCAATACCGATGCAAAAATATAACCTACTTTTTGCTAAAGTTTTACGCAATCAGATTATCTTATTAGGGGGTAATTTTCGTAGTTGTGTCAGTTCATAGCGGGAAGGGCAGTTGCTTTGAAAGCTGAAGTTGTGAAAAATTCACAATAAAGTAGTTTTCGTTGGAATGAGTTTCATATTTGTGTCTACTTTTACCACAGAGTTACGTATCGACTATGTAAGAACGCACGGACCATTAAAGTATTTTCCAAAACATTATTCATCTCAGTTTTTACAAATTATTAAAATAAAGGTTCTCATTTAAATGTATGTAAAAATGTAAGAGAGTTTGTATGTGGAACATAAGAAATTCGAAAAATAATTATAGGTATTGCAAAAAGGAGAAACGGTTCTCTTGTAAAACTTTTCATTTTCTTAGCTATTGATCTATAAAATGTTGATAAAATAATTGCATGATATTCATATCTCCCTTTCGTTCCCTCCAAGTTCAAAGGAATGAAGCATTATATTGCATTATTTTAAAGTTCAGTCTCAACTCCCGGCAAATACGTACGTAACGAAAAAATGTTGGACTGAAGTTTGTACATATATAAACCCTGATTATGTTCGATAATAGAATAAGTGATTAAACAACAAATAAAATTTGGCTTAAATAACACTGAAAGGATTTTAATTATGACATATTTGCGCCGTACAACCCATACGGAATTTGGCTAGGAATATCCAATACAGAAATGAATACGTAACGTGAGAAACCGATGTAGAATTCAAAATCTGCATAGGTTCCTGATATCCGCTTTGTAAATCGGTAACCGGAGATTTATTCTCATTGTAGTCTATTTCACATAAAAACCACAAAGACCCGTTTCCAATCCCGAGTTATGTTTTCTCTTATTTATTGGCGCCAGTTGCATTCCATTACCAATCATAAATGTACTGCATGCTGAAGAGAAATAAAGCTCTCCAGGTATATTAACTCAACATACTCTATGCGGTATAGAGTATCCCTCAATATACAATGATTGGGTCTGATAGACATAAATTCGGTGAAAAGTCCTTATAGTTTGACGGAATCGTCATAGTAGTATTATTTTTAAATAGGACAAACAAAGATGAACGGATAAACTAACCCGTTTAATACCACGGACTGCTGTATAGGAAGTTTTATTACAAATGTAAAGAACACTTACCGCAATCCAGCTGTTGTGTATAACATCATCGATTGACAATCTCTTAACAGGATCGACGTTTAGCATTCCATTAATAAGTTTTTTAGCAGCATCACTAACTTTCTGCCACTCAAGATCTGGAAAACTGTACTGGCCGGTTCTAATGCGCTTTTTCATACCTGGTGAAATAGCCAATCCATGGTCGCTATAAAATGGCGGATATCCACACAATCTGTAATAATAAATATATACAGTTTTTAAACAACTGAAATAATGCACGAGCTTGTCATAACTAAATGTGGGTAAAAAAATAAAAAGAATGGACAAAAGAAAACACTAGCTTTATTCACTACGATTCAGAACTGGTTTGGAACTGTTCGCATGCGCGTTGAGGACTTGGGTGTTTGTGGTAAAAAAATTACTAGTTCTGAACCGAAAGTTCTATGTTGGCAGTACAGTAAGAACTGGTTCAGAACCCGTTCGATACCGGTTCTAGCAGTTCTAGCATTAAAGGAAGGACCAGTGGTTCTGATAAGCACAGAACAAACAAATGGTTCTCATCGGCATCGGGCTCCCGGCATAATCACCTTAAGCTTAACCAAGGGAGCGATAGATGAAAATAGAAAAATAAAAAAATATTACTTAGTTTTAGGCGAAAGTTTAGTTTTAGTTTTTTTTTTAAACGACGGCGTTTTGACTTTATCCGATCGCGTTCGAAATTTGTGAGAAGTTCGAAAAACGAATTTGATGTGTTTCTTTATGATAGGTGGCGAAAAGTGGCAGTTTTTGATTAATTCCAATAAGATAGAATTATTAAGTTTGTTTATGTTTATACATATTGCATTTAATTAAATAATTTTGATCAGAACGCATTGGAATTGCCTACATAATTTTTCGCCCTCAGGTTGAATGGAAATATGTAGTCATAAATTTGAATTAAAAAACGGGAAGCAGACAAAAGGTGCAGCTACAAAAAAATGCAGATCAAATACAGAAGATATAAGATGTTGCGTTTGTACATGAATTGAAATTACTATTAGGCACAAAGTAACTAAAATCACTTTGGTACTAAACGCGTTCGCGGAACGAAAGACTCAAGGATCGGTTCTGAACAGGTCCTCAGTCCTGAACCTAGCCCGCGCCCTAATTTGGTTCGTTATCGGTTCCGAACCGATCCTTAATCGCTACCGCGAATAAAGATATTAATATTTAAATTAAATCACACGGTCTGATCAATAACATTGCAACGTTACGTCACGTATATCCCAGTTTCAGTGCCGTAGCAAGCTTAACTCGCGCCCGGGCACAATACCTTTTTAGAAAATTTTTGTTATGCGGACCATTTGGCGCCCCTTTATGAGTAGCGCCCGGGGCACGATGCCCCCCTTGCCTAACCCTCGCTCCGCCTCTGCCCGGTTTGTCCGATGAGTGTTAAGCATGGAACCATTGGATTACTTACGACGTAGCTAAAGCCCGTGTTCCATGCATCCGTTTATACGATGATCCCAAAGTGTTTTTATCCAACCAATAGGAACAGTTTCGTATCATCGTACAAACGGATGCATGGGACACGGGCTTTACTCTGCTTGTTTTATCAGCGCAAAACGAAACGGGGAAAATTTATATGTTTATTATCATTGATATTTCTGTTTATTTACTTTCAACGCGTAATTAATAACGTAACAGCAGGAAAACCCTTTTACATGTGGAGATTCAGTGTACAACGTAAATATAATCGTTCATTTGGTTCGTAAAGAAATGCATTGAAAAATGTATTTCTGTCTCAAATAGGAAATATTTAATGGCCATAGGTTGCACACAAACGACTACAATTTCTAAGGGAGTTCGCTGTTAAGGTGCATTTAGGAAAAGCGGGCAAGATGATGCCTTAATACAGCGCAAAAAGAGTGGAGGAGTTAGAAAGCGATTCACAGGAAATGCAAGCTTAATTTTCAAATCAGGTTTTCAATCAAGCAAAACAGGGGCCTATCATGATTCTATGAACTGCAAAAATTTTGAAAAATGGTTGAAAAATTCCCAATGCCAGTTGGTCTAAAACATTACTTATGGACTTAAGTCAGAGGAATATTACCTTTCCACGTTTAACAATGAAATACTACTTTTGGACTTTACGAAAACAAAATTTACCTCCCAAAAAGTACCTATAAGTATGCTGGAACTATCAGGGATCGAATCAATTAGCAGTATGCAAATCTAATCAATTAGATGTTGCAAGATAACTTCGATGGATTAGCATTTGAACATGGTTATCGTGTTTCGTCAATTTCATTGACAAATAAATCTCAAGTGCTTATGTAGTTTTAAATAAACTTCAATAAAGTCGTACAATTCAAAACCTCAAAAAATACCATGTAATCATTCAGTATTAAAAATAAACGTTATTTACAAATACCAAAATCAATAAGAAAAGAATCTAAATTAAATGTATACTTACAAAATATACATAATGACACCTAGAGACCAAATATCACAGCTTTTGTCATACTTTTCTGGTCCCAATACTTCAGGAGCTAAAAATATCAACGTAAATTAAATTTTCCTACAAAGCAGTTTAATCGCTAATTACCAATAACTATTATTTTAAACTTATATAAAAAACATTTACTTACCAACATAATAAGGGGTGTAACAAGGAGTTTGTAAGGTGTCTTTATTAATAGTCTCTTTGGCGAATCCAAAATCAGTTAACTTAAGTACACCATAAGTACCTTTTTTGGAATATAGAAGGTTTTCCGGCTTTAAGTCTCTATGGGCAATATCTAGATCATGTAAATATTTTACAGCCACGCAGATTTCATTCATGACTTGTGCGGCTTCTAAAAGAACAAAAAACACACAATCAAATCAAATCACACGCTCCGTTCCTTAAGAACCACCAACAATAAAGCAGGCTAATTATAAAATAAATTTGCAAGTTGTACCTCTTTCTGTAAATGCAGTTCCTTCCGCCTTGTCTTGAATTCTTTGAAATAGTTCGCCTCCTTCCATGCTGTAAAGCAATTTGCGATATTATATTTAGATTCATACGTAATTTTCCCTTGATTACCTACCACTCCATGACAACAAAAAGGCAGATCTTGTTCTGCAATTTATTTTCATAAACATCAATGATATTAACAATATGTCGACAACCACTAGCTCTCCAATGTAATGTGACTTCCCTTTTGGCCTTCTCACTTTCAGACAGTACCTACAAAGTAACACCATAGTTGAAGACAACTGAGTAACACTTCGCATAAAATTTTGCCAAGCTAATTAAACACTGACTTGCATCTTCAATATTACCTTTAAAGCAAATTTTTCTTTAGTGTTTTTGTTGAAGCATTCTACAACTTTTCCACTAATTCCAAGGCCCAATACTTGTTTTGTTATTTCGTAGTCCTCAGTGATAGCGTTTTTCTTGGGAGAAAAGTTTCTCACAGAGTTTAAAGGATTCATATTTGATTTCACAACTTGTGTAGTCCTGTTTCCGTGATAGCTAAATATTTATGTAAATATTCCACTAAAAATGTTATGTCAGGAGGTACTTGGAATACATAATAACGATTTTACCCAATTGGCTTCTTTTCAGTCTTGAGGAATGGCACCTGACACAGGGTATTCGCTAGAAAACCTTTTTCTATTACAAACCAATTAATAAGTTACTAGAATTAGGCATACGCTCAAAACAAATCATTATCCATTCTTGTTTGACATTTTACACATTAGGAGATTCTAAATCTGCGAGGATGCCGGTTATCATACTGGCAATATGGCGCTTTTAAATGCCAAAATATCAGCTTAGAAATATTAGAATTAATTTCTTAATTCTAAATTATTATTTTCCTATAAATTCTGAGGGGCTCTAGTATGGAATAAATTTTCGATTAACGACTATAATATTTGGCACTTGGCATTGTGGCAACATGGGTATAATGTCTTCATATTACAGCCGTTAATCGAGATTCGATCGACACTCCAGTTGCATGATCGTTGCATGGAAGTAATGATATATATTTATCTAATGACCGAGTATTTATTTTTATTTTTTTCCATCACTATTTACGCTGATGACATAAAATAGGAGGAACCATGAAGAACCAATGCGTTGCCTCAGATCCCTGTACCAACATAGGTGAGAATCGTCTGTTTCTTCGTCTATTTGACCCCGATCGTTCGTTCACTTTCAAATTAATGCTGTTTTTTGCGTGTGATGCTAAGAACATAATTTATTTTGCAATGAAGAGTTTTAAGAATTTTCAACCTATTATATGCTTCGGAATTTAAAAGTAAAAAGTTTTTCTTTACAAAAATAAGTTAATATAATTTATTGTCTAGAATGAAATAACTTTAATTTGTCGTTATTGCATCCGTTCATACGATAGTACGATGATACGAAAGTGTTTCTATTGGTTGGAAATCTGTCAGTTTGTACGACGGCGGACGAATCGACAGATCTCCAACCAATAGTAACACTTTCGTATCATCGTACCATCGTATAAACGGATGCATGGTACACAGACTTAAAAGTGTTAAACAATGTCATAAATATTTTCTCGTTGAGAATTCGTGCGCGCACAGTTGATCGCGAACGTGTTCGCGGGAATAAAGCGCGTGAATTTGCCCATAAGGTATTAATTGCAACTAAATTTTCGAAGAATCAGACTGTTGTTGCACAGCCATTAGATTATAATTGGGAAACATTTAACAAATTTTGGTAACTGGTAATTAAATTAACCGTTAATCGATAACCACGTACATTCCTTGTGCAGCTGTTTTATTGACGTCGAAAACGAAAATTGACATATATTGATAGGAAATTAAATAAACTAAATAACTTTTAACCAGCCAAAGCTATATAAAATAAATGTTTTCGGTTTTGAATAATTCATCTTAAGTGTACTGTTTAGTTGTAGGTTTTTTGAGTGGATCATGAATTTAAATGCAGATATATCCAGTGCGTTACAGCTATTAGAAGATATTAAAGAGGGAGTCGGTGATCTTGGCGACCCAAAATTGCAAATGAATACTTACCAAGACCTGAAAGCCTTATTATCAATTTTGGAAAATCCAGTATTTCGAAGCATTGTTACCGTTCAAGACTCTTTGAGTGAACTAAATCAACAATTAGGACAACACCCATCAATCTTGCCTGTGGATTTTGATATCACTTCTGCAGGTGAATTAGTTCTTAATGTACCACCCGCTGGAGAACTATATGACTCTGAATACAATGATTATACATCAAGAGACTTTGATGAGCAAAGAGTCCCATGTCCACCTATATCTCCAAGTTCGCCCCAAAATTTGGCTTTTACTGCATCAAATAACAAGATTATAGCATTACTTAATGGCCAAAAACTCAATGGTGCAGTAAATCCAGAGGTAAATTTTAATTGGCACGCACTCCTCTCTCACAAAGCACTAATATTGTTTTAATTATTATTCTAGACACTAAGATTACTGCAAGGAAATAGTAGTTTTAATCCTCACGATGAAGACATCATTCACAGGTCACCATCTGTTGGTAGTGATACATCCAAGGCAGGGTCTGATAATCTGCCTAGTAGTGAATTGTCTCAAGTAGAAAGCATAAACTTGATAAACGATGGTACTGGATTAGGCTTTGGGATAGTTGGGATGCGGAATATGGGCGTAGTTGTCAAGACTATTTTACCAGGTGGTGTTGCTGATAGAGATGGGAGGTTACAGAGTGGCGACCACATCCTTCAGGTAACATTATAAATTACTGTAGGAGTTTCTCATACCCGCACGACTCTCCTGTTTTTTTTTTTTTTAATAAGTACTAGGCGCTCAATGTGGAGCGAGGATGCATCTTAAAATTTACCTGTTTTGTATGATATACGACTCTAACAGTGTCCAGACACTTAGGAAAATATGAATTCTAAAAGTTTTATCGCATTAATCAAACATCAGTCAATGTTTTGAACGGAGAGAACTATTGTCTACGCTTACGTTACATGCTTGCAATACAGAGATGAGAATAAATTTGAAGAATTTTTGCTATCTTTTGTATATGTCTGAGTTTTTTAGTAACCGCAATTCTGATATGTACTAATAAGGAGTTACGCACGAGAATGGCCTGGTTTTCGGTTGACAGTTAGAAGAAAACAAAAGGTTTTCTTGTGCCAGCTTTTCGGTTATATTTTACCGTTCGCCAAAAGTTCCACAATTTGCGTAACATCGTATACTTTTTAAATAGAATATAGCTAACAGTTTATATACCGTCTGAGGTAGTACAACGGCCATTGCGGGCCTTTACAGATCCCAAACAGAATAGTGGGTCGAGTTACATCTTGTTCGGAAGGTAACTCCAGTCTCTTCGCCGTCATATCTACAATTGGAGAGTTTTTTGTGTCCAAAAATGAACGGGATTTTTTTGCGACTTAAGTGGACTAAGTATAATGTTCAAACATTTATAATTTTTATTTGCAACTACATTGCATTTACTGTAACTTTCGAAGAAGCGCAAAATGATTGTCATGCGTCGACGCCTTATTCCAGGCTTAGTTCGGTGCGTCTTATGCTATGCAGACCGTTGGGTTAGCTTCAATTTGGCAAGGGAACTTTGGTTACTTTCGGAAACGCAAAATTATTTAAATGCGTCTAAGTCTGTTCACACAGTTGGGTGAGCTTTTTTTTGAAACTGAAAATTACCGTTACTGATGTTACAAACGAAAAATGCAATATGCTAACTTCTAAATGATAAGCGCAAAATAGCAGAGGTAACACCATGAAGTTTATTATTTAAGATTCGATAGAATTATTGTTGGTATTATTCACCTTCACTAAGTATTATATTTCAACTGTCAAGGTTCCGACGATTTTTCCTATTAGCATGTTTTAATTTTTCGTGTATAGGTTTGTACTGTTTTGTCGTTATCTTTTGTGTTTTTAACATCTTTATCCATAAAAGTACCTTTGTTTTAAGCCCGAAACTTATAGTCGCTAAATATCAAATATAAGCAGGATTGATGGGTGGTAGACCTGGGCGAAGCTAGTTTTTAGGTCGCCTGGTAGGTAATGGAGAGAAAATCAGTGAGTTCAGTGAGTTGAATGAAGGTCTGCTTATTATTCATATAACAAGTATACAGGGCTCATTTTAATAGAACCAGTCAAATATCTCGTAAATTATAGCAAGTAAAAGAAAATGTGTTATACAAATCTTGTGTAATTGCTAGGGAAAATCCCGAAGGTGATATCAACTTTTATATAGATGGCGCTGTTAACATCTACTTCAACACTTCACTTTTCTAAATGGAGTGGTATATTTTTTACTATCAAATGCGATTCGGCATTTATTTCTAAATGAAAAATATTAAGCTACATATGGGCTAAAGTTAACAGATTTCGTAATATTTACCAACCACTATGGTACTACGTACTTCTAGCACGCATATTATCTTATTCGGTAACGGGTATTTAAAAATTCCATTCCCCGTTAAATATTTTTGGGCTAGACGGGCTTGATCGAGGGCAACATTGAGGCAGTGCGGATGATCATGGAGGGCAATAGGTGCTCAATAGAAGATGACAGAGGAGTTGCAATTCCACAAACTATTCGCCATATTTTTTGTTCTCAAGCTAGTACAAGAAAAATCGTTATGAAATTTCTCAGTCCTGATTGGATCGGTTTATGCAACAGGGTGGCGTACTTTGCATCAAACCGTAACCTCGTATGAAACGTGCTTGCAATATAACACTCGCAAGTGGAGGGGATCAAGAGCAAAAACTACGAACTTGGAAACGTTGGAACATCCTCCCTCCCCACAGCCCAGACTTGTCACCTTGTGACTTTCATCTTTTTGGACCCCTGCAAGAAGGGCAATCCGCTGGAAAAAATGTATTTCTAGGCCGGGAGATTATGCAGAAAAGTAGTTTGTTTTGGGAAGATTGTAACATAATGTAACTATTTAAAAAAATGAATTAGTCCAGTTTGTATTCTATGTACCCTCATATATACATTTTAAACTGTATCCATAAAAGCACTCATATTTAATTTTTGTTTTTGCTACTTTATTCATCGTTGTGCTCATGATGCACAAATAAATGCGCGAACCGTTGAGAGTTCAAATACGTGACGGCTTATTATGCCACCCGTTCCCAATAACAACTAGATGAAAAGTAATTTATTTCTCGAACGAAAACTTACATTTTGGGTATTGACATAAAACGCAACATTTATTTGGATTCTTTTTTGTGGACGCCTAATGCCTTGACCGTAGCATGTGATTTGAAGTAAAACGGCATCTACAGGGTAATCTTTGTGTTTTAATGTATTGCGTTTTGTACCTTTTCAGATCGGCGATGTGAATTTACATGAAATGAATTCAGAACAAGTGGCGACCGTTTTGAGACAATCTGGTACGCATGTGCGCTTGATTGTGGCTCGTCCTATCGAATTGTCTTCCCCTGAGTACAAATATCTCGGAAGTTCTGCTCCTATAGTGCCTACAAAACTCTTACATGACGTGAATGAACTTGATAAATATTTAATTCAGCATAAATACCCTCCTGTGTTCAGGAAAGACTCTGACACATTTTCAACAGAATTGGCAAAATCATATAGGCTCTCTCGAATTCCTGCTTCGCCTTCTTTACCTCTCCTAAACCTTGATGTTTCAGTAAAAATGCCTGAAATGGAGAAATTTGTTGTTGAATTGAAAAAGGATACTAATGGTTTAGGTATAACTATTGCGGGATACGTATGTGAAAAGGAGGAATTATCTGGGATATTTGTAAAGAGTGTTAGCAAAGACAGTGCTGCGGATTTGAGCGGAAAAATTAAAGTTAACGACAGAATTGTGGAAGTAGATGGCCAGAGCTTGCAGGGCTATTCAAATATACAAGCTGTAGAAGTATTGAGGAATTGTGGCAATGCTGTAAAGTTGTGCTTGGAACGATATCTTCATGGACCTAAGTTTGAGCAGCTTCAGCAAGCTATAGCAGCGAGTGAAACAAAGCCTCCATCACCATTAACTTCACCACGGTAATTGCCGTTAAATGTGTTTCCTCTTAGTAGTACTCCTTTTGGTGTTAGTACCTGTTTTTCAGTCTCTAATTAATTCCCTTTACTAATAATAGTTATGGTCAGGTTATACGAACTTAGCTCGGTGTATCATTAACACTTTTATGTTGCCATGCAAGAAGTATTCTGTATGAATTAAGGCGCCTTTTGTGTTCCTCGTTATAAGGTCCCACATATCTTCCTATTGTGTTTTAGTAGTCGTTAGAAAAGTTTCAGTGTTTAATATTATTTCATCTGAGAAAATTTAATATAATTGATAACATTATATTCATATAAGACTTAGAAATATGAAGGTTTAATTGCAGATGATTAATCTTGAGATGCACACATCTAACAAATATCTAATATAGGTATTATGCGAAAAATAGGCAGTTGCTAGTTTATGTGTGTGTAGGCTTTATTCTAGGTCTCATATTTTCATGAAAGCTTTTATATTTGGTATGATTTTATAGCGCTGCCCCAAAACAATGTCAACGTAACAGCATTTAAAAAATAAAATTGTGTTTTGCTAATAAATCGATTTACATTATTAAATAATGGATACTACTGCCCTACAAACTCGTCTTTATAACTTCTTAGCACAAACTTTCCAAATCAACACCGACTTATGACGATTTTTGCGTCTTCTAAAAAATTATTGGTTTTGCACTTGCGGCGATATTGATTTGAAGCGGCGATATAAAACTTGCTGAAATTCAGCGCAATTCCACTAACTGCATTTTCCCATCTACTAAAACAGATAGTATAGCTATTTTAATGTTTCTCACATGGAATACATATTAAATTAACACAGTATGAAGATAATACTTTGCAGTAAAAGGTGGCTTATTTCATATGGAATGTTCCATACATTTCAGATATCCTAAAGACGAAGGACTTTCTAACACAAGCCGAGACATTTTTAGCGACTTTATTAAAAAAGAAGACCCTCCTGCACTTTCAAATGAAGAATTGACAACGAAATGGTTTCAAATGATGGGGCCTGATGTTGAAATCGTCATAGCTAGGCTGAAAAAATTTGGAGATAAAGGAGGCTTGGGTATTAGCTTAGAAGGCACTGTTGATGTTGAAGATGGCCGCGAAGTAAGACCTCACCATTACATTCGTTCAATTCTCCCTGAAGGTCCCGTCGGAAAAAATGGGATCCTCAAATCAGGCGATGAGCTTCTGGAAGTAAACGGTTATCAACTTCTTGGAATGAACCATCATGAAGTTGTCAGTATTCTGAAGGAATTGCCATTGGATGTTTGTATGGTTTGCGGAAGGAGTTCAAGGAATATTTTCAGAGAAGAAACATATCCGGAAAGAAGTGTGTTAACTCGAAGCCTTAACAATCTTTTTCCTGCATCAGATAGACTAGTAAAGGCAAAATCTGATGGCTCATTAGCAAGTAGTATAGCAGTTGCTGGATCAACAGAGCCAACTTTCTCAAAAATGAAATCGCGAAGCTTGGAGCCACTCACTGGCCTAGCTATGTGGAGTTCAGAGCCTCAAATAATTGAATTAGTAAAAGGAGAGAGGGGTTTAGGGTTTTCCATCCTAGATTATCAAGACCCAATTGATCCTAATGACACAGTCATAGTAATAAGGAGTCTGGTTCCTGGAGGAGTTGCTCAACTGGATGGACGTCTGATTCCTGGTGATCGTTTATTGTTTGTTAATGATACGGTACTAGAAAATGCATCTTTAGACCAAGCGGTACAAGCTTTAAAGGGAGCCCCTAAAGGAATTGTTCGGATAGGCGTTGCTAAACCATTACCTATTCCTGATACTGGTGCACATGGATCTTTAATCGATGTTGATCCTGATCGATATCTTATTACAGATTCATTTAATTAGTTAAATGAAAATCCTGTATTTTAGAAAATATTTTTTTACAAATATATATATTATTTTTGGTGAGTAGGATGACATACATATTGCTTGATATTCTAGAATTTACATGGGCGAAGGGCAACTAATCGACCTTGTGCTATCTAAATCGTGCAATTTCTATATGATTAACATTTTTTTGTGTGGTGGTTTTACATAACTCTTCCAACTTGGTCATTAAATTGCTAATTCTTTTCCACATTTCCTTTAGGCACACTTATTCTGTACTGAATCAGGAATTTTGAATCATATCCGCAATTTTCTTGGAAGAATGCGTTGTGGCAACATAATGATTTAATCGATATAATTTTAAAACATAGTAAGGTCGAATAAGCCTTCATACCTTAAATAAATATACTTTAGGACAGAGGGGCTCCCTAGTAGATGTATTTAAAGGCATTGGCTATTGTAGTTAAATTTAGCCCAAAGCCTACTAATAAAATTGGAAATTTTTTCATATTTTATATTTACCTTGCATTTTGCACATATTAGGATCCAATAATTTAATTTATATGACCATTAATTACTCGTTATTTTTATTTAAAGGCCTAGAAATCAATCACTGCCTTAGCTGAGAATCTTAAAATTCTATTTCGTTGCTTTATTGCTATTTTGGTGTTAAATAAGGAGTGTCGTAAATTATAAGATTTTTATACAATATATATATCGCAATAATTACAAAACTGCAGCAATATTCAACCTATTTTGTATAATCGGCAGCTATGTATTCGTAGTCACTAGTAATGAGACCAGCTCATTATTTCCTGATAAAGCTATTGCTTAAATGCTTAAAGGAAATTATAAATTAAACTGCTACCTGTATGTGTTCTCAATTACCATGTATTAATCATATTATGGAATTAACAAGAATAATTTTATATGATATTTTAAAACAGAACTTTTTCTGGCTATAGTATTTGTAAACTATTTAATACTTTCTTCATTCATATCAAGATATTAAATATATACACTTGTATTATCTGAAATTCTTTGGTATATATCCGCCTTAGCGTAGGTTTTTCTTAGAGGTCATGTAGCTAATATTAGAGCCAATGCCTTTGCAAATGTGGTATTATATACTAGTTAAAAAAAACAAACCATATATTATGTAAAGCACAATATGCCACTTTATAGAATACGATATTGTCGATTCAATAAGGAAGGGCGGTGGTTAGTTAAATATATTTATAGTAATTTGAAGGAAAGGATTTCTTTTTCCTTGATGTATTGCGAACAATTCTTGAAAGCGTTATCTATTTTATATTTTAGCAAAACCCGCCTCTGTTCCTTATTGTAGCCGTAACATTTGTTTACTCTGACTCGAATCTTAAAACGCATTCTGTTAACCGACAGATATTACAATATTTTAAATGTCGTTATTATAAAATGCAGTTGGCATACTTATTAACTGCATTTAATAATATGATTTTATAATTTCCCTTTGAAGGCATATATCGCAAAATTGTGATAAAATGATAATAGGAATAAATTACGATATTGTAATAAAAATGTTATTGTTACTAAATCTTTTAGCAATAAAACATTTGTATAGATTTACTCAATAAATAAATTTTAAAGGAGCTTTGTCTTGTTTATAGATATAATCATAACAATGTAGTGCATACCGTATCTTAAAACTAACCTATTTGGTTTTTTGCTTTAATACAAAAGGAAACTGCCTGTAGATGGCGGATGAGACGTTTAAAAAGAAAAAGTAACTATTTCTACACTTTCTTCACACCCTATCGAACACTCATGGGGTTCACAGCGCTTAAATGTCCACTTCAATCGCACTAGTCTGATTTTTGCCAACGTTTTGAAAAATGGATTAAAAATTCGCATTGAAGATGTGATCGCAGCAGAACACCCCTATTTTACATAGTAAATCAGTCTACTGTGGCAACTACTGTTGGATGAAGTCTACTTAAATTTCCGATCCAGATTCAAGGTTCAATATAGTCTAAAAGAATGGCTAAATGGCAGATCCATATTCAGCCCAGCTCATGATTTGTCATCGCTTTCTTCTGCTCACAGCATTAAAGCGACGGAAAACTTAACTTTTCTACTGTGGTAATTTGGGCTTTTCGAACTTTTTAATTGGTCTTCAGCAAAGACGATATTATGACACGCTTTAGGAAACGAGAAACGCAAAAAAAGTAGTGCAATCGCCAATCGCAGTGCAATGTAGCCAATTTGTTGACAAATAGTGTCATATACAATAGTAATATTTAAAGTTTTTAATGTGTTTAGCAGTAGCACCTAATGGCTTAGCGGTAGAGCGGTAATAATAATAATAGTAATAACTAAACCGGTAGACCTACCGTAAAAACGGTAGACCTGAACATAACTTCTTTGATCAGCTGAGATCAGAAAATTCGTCGGTATCAATAACTTCCGTTTGGAAGGCACAAATATTGAAAACTTAAATTCGTCTTTCCTTACGGCGCGTGTGCAACTGGTACAAGAGTATATAGTCTGTACGAACTAACTTGGACTAGCATAAAAACTAATAATGTGCATTCTTTGTGAAAGATGGACGTGCGAAGTGTATTTTAAAAAAGCTGTTTTAATTAGTAAATTAATTTAATTTATTTAACTGATTTGAATATATTTAGTTATTTAGTATTTGATTGTTTTAAGTAAAATTTTACAAATTGAAAACTTACGCTTACCTATTCATCACTATCTATGATACAATGGATACATTGTATCATGATCACTATCACAGTCTTCAGAACTTGATATGTCATCGATTATGGGCAGCGACTAGGCGCTTGTATCCTCGGACTAATTCTACTGTTTGCCTTACTTTTATCCTTAGCCCTTATTTTTAATTCAAGGATTCACATGTGAGAACTTTATTTGCTTCAGACAGTCCTTGAAACTGTCGAATAAGCAAGAAAACATTTTCAACACTTTCTATAGCTATAACGCCGCGATTGTAAAACCATGTTATTTTTTAGATTTATTCTATTTAGTATTTCTCTTGAGATAATGTTTCGAATAATTCTAGTAACCTCGAACACTTCAGTGAACGAACGACTGATTATTTAGTTTCTGGCTAATTTTAAAAGAATTTTTGACTTTGATTCAAATATCTATTTTTAGAATAAGGGTGAATACAATTATAATTTTGATGAAAGATTTAAATTCAAGTATATGTCTTTTTCTCCAACTCTAGATTTAAGCATAGCGTCATGTATTGCGGTGATGATTTTCGTAAATCGTTTAGATACCGAAGTTTATATTACCAAGAATCATTAAAGCACTCGCCTACGAGACATACATTGAAAAAGGCGTCCGAGAAGATGACACAATTTCCCCCAAACTTTTCACAACTCTGATAGAGCAAACATAAACGGAGAAAAACTAAACCCACCTACGTTTTGTCTACCACATCGTGTCATTATGTAAATCATTATTATTTTCATGTAATTACCCGAACTGTTACACCTCAATAGACTCTCCTGCTTTATTAATTTTAAATAAAACAAAAATACATCATACTTTTTTATTTTATATATATTTATATGAATATTATAATGTGTATCGATTATTAGTGTAAGACTATTCTTATGTGTAGTAGTGCTAACAGATTGGGTGTTTGACGAGATGTATGGCATATAGTACAGTACAAATCAGTAGTGGTCTTGATGTACTCAAATACATTTTGTATTTATATCACATTTAAAAATATTTTTTTGCAGGAAATACAGTGGTAAAGGGAATCAAGGTGAAGGGGTGGGACCGGCAACGACAGTCACCTAGAACACACGCGCACTCGTTCAAACACTCGCATAATTTAGGCTGTCCAAAAAATAGCGTGCTTTCGGCTTCTTAAGATATATGTACATTAATTGAAACAAATTATGCTCGAAAACAAAACAAATATTCCATCGTAGAATTGCTTGAGCCCAATTCCACAGTTTTCAAAGCTATTAAGCTTATTTTGTGATTATTTAAGAAAAATGTAGGTAACAGAAACAAACATTTCTCTAGTTCTTTAATTAATATTTTCTAATATTTTGATATTATTTTTAAAGTGCAATCTAAAATGTGAATTCGTGAAATATTTCCTCATCATTCTATTTGAGTTGGGTGATGCATTCCTCAGCTCACATTTTAATTTAAGGAACATTTAGTTTTTACTATACTAATCTACGTCCTCACATTGAACCAATATCGAACTATGAAAAATCATCAGACTATGTTTTTTTTTGTTTTTCGGTTATTGAATATTTGAACTCAGCTAATGTAGGTTTAATTTCAAATAAGAAAATGTGCTCATTAATTTATGGCAATAAGGTAATCAGCAGAGTGTTTCCTAAAATAATTATTGTCTTATGAAATATTAGGTTCATGCGCCGTTTTATCTTATCCTCGCGTATTGTTTTATTAAATCCTTAATGTAGATGTAAATTGTAACATGAATTTCGAAACCTATACTCTATCTTCTTTTTAATTTAAATCAGCAGTTTTTTGAGGCTTTCAGAGTAAAATCATGGTTATAAACAGAAATATGTTTTCATCGTCTTACAGGAAACGAGTTGTAAAAACATGAAATATATCATTTACAACGCATATAAATAAATAGAATTATCATGCGCAAATCTGTGTTAAAGTCCTTTCAAGAACTGACACCCATCATCAATGTTAGGATATATATATTTATATATTAGGTACCTACTTAATGTAGATCGTAGTTGTTAAATTAAAGGTTCACGTTTCTAGATCTAACTGTTTTTAATTAAAATTTAACTTATTAAGATTTTTTAAAATCTTCTGGATAGTATCTATTGGATGAAACTCAGGAATATTGTGAAGATAACATATTTATTCCTGTAAACAGTAGGCCAGAAAAGCGTGCATACAACATATTATAATAAGAGCCAATAAAATTAACCTCTAGTTATTGAGCAAAGAGAAAGAATTCCAAAGAAGAACACGCAAAAAGCATTCAAGAGTAATTGAATAAATTTGAAACTTGGTGAAGAGACATAGGCTTGGAAAGCATTTGTGTTTAGGTACTTCTAAATCAAGTAGAAAGCAATTATATAATTGTGTTGGAAATGAGTAAAATCACAAGACTCCTTTCGTTTTTACAGAACATAAGTTAGAAAGCGGATTACAGTATTCACTTGACATTGAAACTGGATGATTAAATGGAAAATAATTTTCCAATTGAATTTTCCATTTCTACTGAAGATAGTAAACTGTTACTGAATATAGGTGAAGATAGATAGTGATACTATCGATAAATTTATTAAAAAATAATATTGTTGATGTTCAGATAAACGGCAGACGAAAAAAGATACGGCGAAATAACTGCTTAAGTGCCATTGCTCGAAAGACGCAGTTTTAGCAAAACCGGCGTAGTACAAGAAGATTGATTCCAAATGATAGAGCACCGAATATGGAAAAGCGCAGCTCAAACAGCATAAAATAAAATTCCGAATCTGAATTCTGATATAAAAATGTATAGTGCGTCAAAATAAATATAACTCAGTTCTTAAATGCGGAGATGATAAGAATAATCATCCAATCTGCTCGTCCATCCATCTACTCTTGAAAATCAAAAAAGTTATTATAAAATGCCGTTAAACTAACAATACTCGGAAAATAAGCAAACACTGAGTTCGGAAGACGAGCAGAATGAAAATCGACAAGACTAAATATCAAAATGCAAGGAAAGAAAACATCCACTACTCAGAAAGAAAACCGACATCGAACATTAATACTTTTTCTCTACGAGGAGTATGAAAACCATGTGGCAACGACATATATCTCAAAATGAAGCATTTTGTGATACAAGGTTATATCCTTTTTTCCAAATTCAAGGAACATTAAACAATTTATCGAAAATTTAGTAAAATATCTTAGCTATGGAAACCTAATCTAGCTAAAATATATTAGTTAATAGCTTCAAACTCTAAACTGATATTTTCTCACCCATCCACTAATACACACAAATCTTCGCTGCATCTTGCACTATCCAATTAAAGTATTTTGGGCTATTACAACACAATACCTTCCGCAGCCTCTATATTGACTTGTTAACAGTAATAATTATAAATTTGATTGAATTAATTGATTTCTCTTCAATCTGAATATGCTTTTCTTAGTTAACGCACAATTTTTGTCTAATTTTTCCGTTCAAGGAAAGGAAATACTTTTTGGTACACATTATGAATGTACAACATGTGTTAATACAGCTACCGCACTCGATGGGGACAATTTTCACATTTTATTAATGCACTGTAATTATTTAACTAATATTCTCATTACGTGTTTACGCTTAATTATTTTGACTTGTTTCTCATTTAATTTGACTGCCAATTTACGCAATTTATGCATGATTTACTCCAACTACAAAAATGTCATTTTTTTAGTTTATAATTGCCATACCTAGTTATTTGATATGAGGACTCTACAGTAAACTTTGAACTTTTTTCATTCGCCAAGCAATATGAACATTTATGGCATCTAATTAATAATCTTATTTAAGTAATAAGTAAGCACCGATTTCCAGATGCGTTAATCTCAGTCACCCCCAGGGCCAGTTTCAAGCCTTTTAGCTCTCATCATCTGGGTTTAGCCTGAGAACAACACTCCTGAAACCTACACTTTATTTCGCCCATCTATTTTACGTCACATATTATTACATGATTTAAAATACATCTCATGCTTCAGATTAACGTCTCGAAATCTGAACCTACTTGTATCAGTAATCTTCGACGGCTCTGATCATACCGAAAGTTCAATTTTCTCTAATATGCCCTAATTTTAATTCATAACTTATTATTATACAAACCAGAAATTGATTAAGGTTTTTTCAATTTAATGTAAAATATTCTAAATTTTTGGAACAATTGTACAACGGCTGAATGTTGCATTGTTATAAAATATGTTTTTATTTGCCTTTCCTCCACTTATTTACGTGATTATAATTATCGTAAGTTGCCTTTAATTTTTTTATTCTCATTTGTGTAAACATTCACTTTGAATTTTTGAATACTATGAGAAAATTTTGATCATAGTAATATTTTCTTTTTCATACTTTAAGGAGCAAAACATGATTCTAATATGCGGTTTTCAACTTCGTTTGCTGATTTCACTTAACGATTATACAGTGGGAGTAATTTTGCAGCAGCACGACTTCCACAATTAATGGAAGACTTTATTTTAAAACAACTAGCTATGGAAATATTTCTTCGCAAAGCTTTAGCTTTTGCCATACTGGGTGGCGTGGGTGTAATTTAATCTGTACAAATATTAATATATTGAGATAAAAAGGAAAATTCAATGATTTTTTAAATGTACCGCAAAATTATGCTAGACGGATTCTTGATTTGATTACTGATGAAATGAAAACCAATTTGTATCAACTTACAGTTTTTTTATAAATGATATTTCTATCAACATATTTTGAAAAATAATGTGGCCATGTTTAGTTAAAAGAGAAAGTGATTAGTGAGATCTATACATGTGAAAGCGACTTGCTTAAACATGAAAAAAAACCAGTCCTGTATTCTATGTTTGAAAACATTAATCAAGAATAATGGAAATTGGCAGTTGCAAGAATATTAAAAATAACAAAAAATTGATGTTTGGTATTCCACAGATTAATTTTACATTCGTATTTTGTATAAATTGGAAACTAAAAACATTAGCAAAAGCGCACTATTTTAATGTTTTCAAACAGGAGCCTTTAACAAGGACTTTTAGAGAGTAGAGTAATATCTAGAAAAATACTTTAAAACACTGAATGTAAACTTTTCTCAGGTGATTTGAATCTACCTACATGGTGGTTTAGTGTTTGATCCTCTCATTATTTTGTTTTTTAACTTTCAAATTTCAACTTGTTTCCGGTTGTTCTTTGGCGATTTCTGCAATTTTTAAGTATTTTATTATTAAATTTAATTTAAATGATTACAGAATGATTTGTTTTCGGGAAAATTTCCTTATTGTTCTATCAAACTATATTGTGGTTTTTCGCTGGTTAATTCGAAATTATTTGCGCGTTTTGTGTAGGTGTTAGCTTTTTGATCTCATCTTATTCTCCTCGTTTTTTCATATCTACTACCATCATAAAAAACATGTTTTTTCCTCAGATTCGGTGAATGGAAGCAAAATTGTACATTATGAGCAAGTTCTTTACGTCTGCGTATTGTAGAACTAAAGAAGAAACAAGTAAACGACATTTGTTAAACCGGACTCTCATCAGCTAATACACCTCCACAGTATTTTAACGTTTTTACATGCATTTTGTATTGGACTAGTATTATTTCTCAATAACGGTTGCAGATGTGAGAAACCCGCTAGAAACTGTGACATTCTCAAAGTAAAATAATTAATTTATGAATTACCAGCGCCCCACCGCAAAAAGTCTCGAGAAAAATCAACGACTTATTTGATACCCAACATATTTGATACTGTTATTCATCATAAAACTAAAGATGTTATAAAGAGGAAAATTAAAACATCCCCAAACTACAATTCAGCCTTCCTTAGATAGATACAAAGAAAAAATAAGGAGGCTTTTTGGCGAATCATTTAATGAGCTTATATTTTCAAAGAAGGACATTTGTATAAATGTCAAGTTTTATATATGCATTTTTTAAATTCGGCAGAAGTCTTGGATTTTTACTTATAAAAAAACTAAACATTTTTTTGCATCAATTTTTGTATTAAATACCCTTTATATATATTTTTGGGTAGAATGTAATTAACTAGTACTATTTGTAATAATCTATTTAATTTTTAAAAGAAAAAACTGACTGGATTTTTTCCAAAAGCTATAATAGCTGGTTGTGAGCAAATTTAAACACTTAAAAATTAATCATTTGCTGGAAAAATAATTTATACTTAATCTGGCAATAAACATTTGTAACAAAGATTCGGTCAGTTCGATGTATCAATATTCGTCCGATAATCGTTTTGGAACAGAATTTCAAACGACTGCGCCAACCGAGAAACTGCGAAACTCTCTTTCCGTTACAGTTGCCGTTTATTAATTGCGTAATTTGAAAGATTGAGTTTCAGCCGCACAATTCATCTTTCACACCGTCGCCAGGAAACATTTTTTTCATATTGAACCGCTATGCCCAAAAATGTGGAGTTTAGGTAACTTTGACCATAAGAAATCATGCATCAGAAACTAAACAATGCTTCAGAAAATCGTCGAGCTGTGTATAAAAATCAAATGCAATTGGAAGTGAAAATGATCGATATTTACTTCGCGATGATACGGATTTTTTAGATCTAAATCTATGAATAAATACGAACAAAAAATAGACGGACTCAAATTAAGTTGATGTAGATGAGCACAATTATGGTGAATCATGTGTTTTGCTCTCTATTAGTTTCACCAATATTTGAACACCCTTGGATGTGATAAAATGTGGAGTGTTAAAAATCTCAGAATACTACAATTAATTGCAATATCTTCATATTTGTGTTTTCTTCGTCGTTGAAGACGGAATTTTTGTATATTTATGTGAATTTACATAATGTCTTCCATCGATTGTTTAAATCCTGATACCATCAATTAACTCACCTGCAGATTGCATGAACATTTTGACACATTATTCTTATCTTTATAAGAAATTTAGGCCGTATAACATCTTTTATGACTCCCCGTAAAACATCTGATCTTAGAAGAAACGTGGCGCCGAATTACTGTAAACAGGATGTGAAGTTAGTTGAAATATTTCAGATTTTTTTAATAGCCTTATTGCCTATTTTGCCCTTTTTATGTAGGTCTAGTTTAATAAACTAATAGAACTTAACTGCACTGAAAGTAACGTGGATGTCTTTTTATGGTTGCTATTATAATCATGTTTGAAACACAAACCAGGTTTATTTATAATGGTGTGTTCACTGCCATTATCAATGAACATACAAAATGAGATCATCAAGGAAGCAATAAAATGAGTCTAGAAATGTGTCCAAATATTGGAAACGGTATTGCTTAGCTTTTGTAAATATTTGTTCGTAAAATTAGACATTGATGTATACAGTACACTGATCATGTAACACTTATATTTTACTATAATACTTTTCACACCTTTTGACACTTTCTTAACAAACACTTATTAAATACTAGTTATTTTTTTTAACGAAAGTCTTTTTCCTAGACAGTCTAAATGTTAACATAACAATGATAGTATACCCGTTTATCGGCGCATTCGATGCTCCTATTGAGTAGAAAATTGAACAATACAGGCATTAGCTACTTTAACAAAAATATTTGTATGTGCAACTGTCGCTACCATATAAGTATAGCTTCGTCCTTAGGGAACTTGCGCCTGTCGTCGATTTTTTAAAATACCCTGTCTTTTGTCAATTTGAATCATGAATTGAGTACCTAAATGTTGTGTACATGTTTAAGATGGCAATCTACTCTACGTATTTATTGTATTCACTTACACTTATTACACATATAATATTACATATCCTTAAAGCAGTTTAGAATAACCATATTTGTGACGCTTTGTAATTTCTACAACATAAATTGCTAAATTAGTATATGCCTTAATAGACATTGTAAATTTCGAGAGAAAAGACGAAATACATTTTTAAAGTGCAGTCATTTGTTTGTACCAGATGCAGCATTTCCAAAGCTCAAGGTTTGAGTTACTAATCAAACAAATTTAGTTTAATTGCTTATATAACACTTAAACTAATATATTTTCCAATACAAATGTTTGATACAGATGTCGACCATACAGAAGTTTAAAATATTTGAATAATTAAAGCAATTTTTAATATTATTGAACACCCTGTTTTATATGTTGTAAACAACTTAACGTTTTTACTGTATTTGTGAGTGAATTTTTAACTGTTCATTCGAATGAAAAATCAACGCTTTGTACTACGGGATCAAATCAATGAAAACATGCGTAATAACACGAACATACATACATACGTACATATATTGTAATTTTCATTGAAATAAATGTTCGTTCTTCTCTTTCTTTTAGTTTGCGCTTCGTTTAATTTTTAGCAGGAATTTTTTTGCGGATAGGGAATAATGCAAATCAATACAGTACTTCATGCTGCTTTGTTAATTAAAAAAAAATTGAAAACAATTTCTATTCTTTTACAATTTGTGGTAAAATATGCTTTTTTTGTTAATTTTACTTTGTACAAAGCTTTGTATAGAAGGGCTTTTAGAATACTGAATCAGCGTGCTTATCAAAATCAAGAACAACTTGAATTATCAAGTTGAAATGCTAAAATTTAATTATTTATTACTTCATATTAGAAATTATAGGAAAATAAGGAACTACTTACTATTTTTTGTATGCGGTTAATTATTATATTAAGCAAGATATATTTTGTCGATATTTAAGAATATATTTTCAAAAGCAATCGGATATGTAAACTATGAATGGAAAATTCACTGAACTTACTTTTAGGAGGAAAAGTAGTTTGTATAATGCGAATTCGAAATCTGCATAATTGGAAAGCAAATTAGATACAAAGAATACTTACGTACGTATGTAGCCAAATGTCAAAGTGATTCTCTGAGTGATTTTAAGAAGATAATTAATTAAGTTATGCAATAGTTTTATGTTCATTTCTTTTATCGACAATTTTTTTAATCTCTCAGAAGAAATCAATAGGTCTCATACAAATAAGGTTTTAATTTTATCTCTAAAACGAAACCTGATATGAAAAAAGTCGAGCGACAAAAAAATTCCCTTAATGCTTTAAGTAGAAAAAATAAAAAGACGTCAGCGGCACACATTTTTCGTCTCAAAAATCTTGGAAAGGTTGTTCTCCGGGATGCCAATGGGCTTAATAATTTTTGTCTATTTATGGCAATATTAGTCCTTAACTGCCGAATTTCAACAATATGCACAAAAATATTATGAAGATAATTACGAAAACCCGTTTTTTTATATTTCAGCAGTGTATATTAAGAAACATTTACAGATTTATACATACTTTTCTTTCTTGGAGTCACTCAGAGAATTATATTCTGAAATATGGTTACGAAAGTACTGAAAAAAGTGCTTTAATACAGCGGCAGCAAGATTAGAAGTTTTTTTTTTATCTATTTGACATAGATTCAAACATTTAGTAACTCAAATTATTTGCTTGGATGACTCAACTAGAACCTATTTATTGTTTCAGTGAAAAGATTAACAGTTTCTCAGTTTTCAGATAATGAAAACTATGAATTTACTCAACACGTGTTTATAATTACCTCAACTGTAATCTTTATGTGTGCGTTAGGTCTAAATGTCCAGTTCGCTTGTTCAATAAACTGAAATAATTATAGAGATGCTGTTGAACTACGAATATTTTGATAAAATAAGGAAGATTCAGATTATGATGTTTTATATTCTACCTGCTGATGTTGACGTAAATTAATAGAAAATCAAAATTAAATAGAGGGTTTTAAGAATCAGCGCACTGTACTGTAAAAAAGTGTGTAAAACATAAGGAAAATTAAAACTATGCTATTAAAACTATGCTAAAATTTCTATAGTTCTCAGCTGAATAAATTTCCATGATTTTTTCAGGGGCTAAGATTGACAATGGAAAACAGGCAAAAATAGTGATTCAAAACTGCAAATATACTTATAGTGTTTGTTTGTAACAATTTGTTAATAAGTTCAACATTACATTATGTTGCGGCAAAGAGCATAGTGTTCTAAGTATCATCAACTGTAAATGTTCTAGGAGTGACTCCCGCCTTTGGTAAGTCTATTTAGCTAGATACATTTTAAATTGAGCCCCGAAATCAGAATGAAATAATGCTTCATGATTGTCAGTTTGGTGATAACTATAGCCGCAATTTATATAAATAATACGCTTCTTTCTCTAATTATTTATATATGTCAGAAGTATGTACACTTTAAAAGTTTTGTGCGTTTTTGAACATAGCATTGGGTCGATTTACCTACGAATTAATTATATGTGTTTCTGCAGAAATACTCATCTAAACACTCGAATCTACTGATTATATACAGGGCATTTGCAAAGTTGAGGCTCTTCAACGGGTTTCATCCCCAAAATGAAATTGATCATGACGGAGAACAGTCCAGGGCACAGTAAGGGCTCAATTTGCAAGAGTACAAATGTTTCTTGACATAATTTTTCATCATTTTTCTTAGTTTGCTGATGTGCGCCATTCGATCATTTCAATTCTGAATTCTGGGTTATATAATTAGACTCGTACAGGACCGATCCTAAAAGTGCCATCTACAGCCTCAAATATTTTTTTTACTTAACTTTGTTAACGATCTGAGGCTACGACGGCTAGACTTCTGATACAGCTTTAAAAGTACTTTAAAGGTTGCTTATAATCCGAACAATCATTGATAAATTATTTCTTTGAATTGCTCCTGCGTTTTTTACTACAGTGGGGTTACTGCTACTATAAATAGTTTTTCCAATAGGCCACTCTATATATGCTACGCGTTAAATCGCTTTTTTAAAACTTAGAACTAACCATATATCAAATATGTTAGACAAAAGAAAGTATCATGCTTTAACATATACTGTGCCCGTATAGGAGTAATACAGGGTGGTCCAATTTCTAGGGCAGCTTCTAATGGAGATTTGAAAATTAATATGGATTTGCTTGGTCAACTATATTCGAAAAATGGCGAAAGTTAAACTTTGGTTAAAACATTCAAATTTATTACCGAATTCATCGTCTGAAGATTATTGATTGGAACTTGTGAGGCGCAAAGGTTATTTATAGTTCTGCCAGTGGCGCCCGTACTGAGCTTTCGGAAAATAAAAATTAATTCTGAATTAACAAAAGAGATATACGTTCGTGGCCATTCTATTCCATTTCCAAGAAATCCTATTGAATTGACTGAAGAATCGAAAACTTTTATTCTTTGAAAAATCAGTGGCGTAAAAAAAATATTTGTGTTATTGCAACATGTGGTATTCCGATTGCACAAAAATTCATTCAAATATCCTCATCCGTTTGAAAACACTTGAATACATTTGATCATTTTTACCAACCTTTGATACCATGTGTTTCCATAATAAAGCATTTTACATATAAGGTTTATTGGGTAAACTTATGCTTTATTTTCAATTGCTCTCTAATGTATCTGCTTTAAACTGGACCAGCTTATATTGGATAATTCTTAGAAAAAGTCTCACTATTTCGAATCTAATTTAGAAGAATTATGAACCATTTATTATAACCAATTAAATTTGTTATTTTCTAGTTCTATAAACATGGAAACAAATTTCTATTCTTTTTACAGCTATGTTGTGCTTTAGCCAAGATTTCAACGAGATATTTTTTCCTATTTTGTCAATTTTTCATAGCAGGAAGGAGATGAACGCCTATATATGCTATATTTCTGAAAAATGGAAAAATAACTATCCAATAGATCTCAAATATACAGCGTGGTTCATTTTGAATCTGTAACACACTTTATATGATCACAAAGTGTTGACACCATTGCCCAATTCCCTTCCTGAGTTTTGGTACCTTTTGCAGTGTACCTTATTACAAACCCTGGCGTGTTCATATTTGCTTAGTTTTAAGCATGTGAAAAGTGAGTTAAAATGAAACCCTCAACTTCGAAAGCAACCTTTTTAAATAAGATCCTAACAACTAAATGTATTAATATATATGCCATTCCCACTAGAACGAAACAGATCAAGCTCATTCAAGTAGACAGGGTGTCTTAAAAATCGAACTCTCAAAAATAATAGTAGATATTCAGTTCACTAAATTCAAATCGAGCTATACGAAGTGAGATATTAATTTTCTGTTAAACACAAAACACTAATTGTAATATGTGAGCGATTATGACGTCCGGGATTGGGTCATGAATTGTTATTTTACATTATGCAATGACATCGACTCCTTCGGGCGGAGCCGATGTAAACGAACACATTCTCACGGTTATAGTTTATTATTTATTATTTTATTTTGGTCCGATATGTCCTGTAGCTTAGTACATTTAATCCATTAGATGGGGTGCAACACGCGATTGTCAGTGTAAATAGATGAGTGTCAGAATGAATCACAGGTTAATAAGCAAAGCTTTTCAATTATGTTTGCTACCAAACTGTGTAGACAAAGAAAAAAGCTTTTCTTAGGACATCATAATGTGACCTGAGAATATTGCAAATTGTTGAGAATGGAATGTATTTCGCATGGTCTCTTTTCTTGAAACGCGCTATATAAGCATTTTTCAATGAGGATGTCTTCTTTTGCTACATTGCAAAAATCATCACAAAAGTGCCCTATTCAATTAGTACATTCCTAAATACTATCATGTACGTAAGGGGTTCGAAAAGAGTCCCCACAATCGCAGTTTTTTCTTATACAAACTTTTCCCAAATCAAGGTTTTTCAGTTACAAGTTACGACTAAGGTCGTTGGTTTTGACACAACCCTTTAGAAACGTTCCTTGATTCAAAGAAAAGTAGGTTTTACGTTATAATTACCAGGCATTAGAAAAATCCTGATATGAGGAGGAAACAATGGTAGCACAGAGGATATTTTAAAATCTCAGTATCATATTGTTTTTTCAAAGATAAGGGTAGAGTAGAAAGTGATTATGTCAAATCTCTGTGTGGGTTTTAACTTATACATGAACTTCAATTAATGATGTGCAATAATTTTATGCAAGAGCTTTGAAGGTACTTTTAATGGTAATAGTTCAGTGAACTTTCTCGATCTGCACCGCTCCTGGAAGAACCATCGAAATATCTGAAATATTTTTTTGCACAAGCAAGACAAACTTTTGAATCTATATGTATGTTGTAAAGTCCCCCTTGAAAACATCCTCAAAATATTTGTGCCTGTTTATCAAACATTTTGTACGTTAAGTGTACGATTTTCTCGGTAATTGCTGGAAACTGGTTAGTTACACCATTCCAGCTTTGAGACAGTGGTAGAGACGAATTATCTGGCGTTTGGCAAGCGCAATTGTGCATTTTGAGAGGTGGTTTGTTCGATTTTTTAGGGTTCATTACACATTTAATGCAATATTTTTAGTAAAGCACATCTGAAGATTCACGTCATTTCTGATTCTTGTGCAAAAAATGTTTTCTACAATAGTCTAAAAGCCCAAAAAACTCACTGGTCTGCTTTCCGGAGCTGTAGCTAGCCAATGGGTGAAGCAAATTGGGCTCTCAGAGCATGACCTATTATGAAGCGATTATAGATATGATTTCAGAATGTGAGTGAGTGCAAAAAATATGAAGAATACTCAGCAACAGATTGTCGACTGAGGAGGAAGGGATAAACAAAATTGGTAGATCTATTTGACGCTAATAACTGAAATTCCTATCTGGTGATTTTTTACCGCGAGATGGTACTTGCATTTCCGAGAAAATAATTTGGAAGTCCAAATATTTGCCATAGTCCAAGGAATCGTCTTGATCATTAATTTTTTTCGTATATGCATTTTGTATACTGAATACACTACAAATCAATTATTTGATTGTACCACTTATTTCAGAATCAGATTCGAATGTTTTCTTTAGTCAACCCGGCGAATCTGCAGCTATTTTCCATTTACGGCTACGGCTACTGATTTATTTCGATAATGGCTGCGAATAGGACCAATAAGGACTTTTTTGTCTATTTGGAAACTCTGATCATGATCTTATTTATATTTGCTACTGAAAAATCGGTATAATTGTGCATATAATATCTGAAACTTTGAATATAGCTAAGGAACTAATAAAACTGAAACTCCTAAGATTTTTTCAGTAGGAAGTGAGAAAAACTCCTCTGTATTTCCATTGGAAACCAGGATTTTTTGTCAGCAGGTATGTAAGCAGCCCAATCTATACACTTTAAATTACATCAAGTATTTAACAATCTAATAGGCATAAAAAACTGCGATAGTCTGCGTAATAATACCGTCTTGGAACTAAATTAACGTTAATACTACAAATGCGCCTATCACCGGTTTCGATCCTAAAAATAAATTAAATAATTTAATAAATTAACTAAAACTAGGCATTATGGGTGTAAATGCATAAAGAGAGATTAACGGTCGTCCCTTTTTAACTTTCATTCTGACATCTGCTATTTAGACTAACTAAAATTGTCGATATTTTAATCCAGTTACACTCCCGATCAGCAACGCTTGCAGATACGAATCCGATGTACCAAGCACTCACATTGCCAAGTTACACCGTGCGCACTTTGCGAGGAATGGTCGAACCTGGCTGCTCACTTGCTAGGCCTTAAGAGAGGTCCTCTGAGATCCATTGTGTGGATTATCTTTGGTAATAAGTATTAGCAGGACCGGCGTGAAAACTAAAAGTTTCAGGATAGCAGAATTGTTCACTGTTTTGATGTTGCTAACCGAGGTCCACAGTTATTGTCGACAATTTTTTGTCGTTAGGCCGTCTGAAACAATAAAGAACAATCAAATATATCAAAACCAAACGAATACTACGTTTTTTCGCACTTTGCATTTTTAGTATTCCCAAGTGAAAAGCGGAAGGAATAGATTCTAAAACAATGTATAATAAGAGCCCGGCCCGCATACCGATGTTAGATTACGTGGCTTTGCCTAATAATGCTCTGAAATTCGAACATGTGATATTTTTGGTTCGTAAAGCCGTCAATAGCACGTAATTCCTGGTCCTAGTCCCGACTTAAGTTTTTAATTACGTGTTTAAGCTTAAAATGAGCAACTATTCACTAACGCAAATTTAATGTTGCATGGATAGTTTGCAGATATTTTTTAGTACATTCAGAATTTATCAAAATAACGATTTCAAATAAAGAGTCAGAATTGAATTGTGATTAAGATGAATATGAAGATATGGAATGTATTCTGGGGAACATCATTTGCATCCAATAGAGCTTTTATAAATAAAAAACGATCAGTACAAATAAAATACGTTTTAAAGTTTGGAGATTCAGGCAAATCAATATATATTTTGAACACAATAATGAAATTCTCTTGCCTCTTTATAATCGAACTATTGAAGTTTGTTAGAATGTTAGAAGTCATTCTCCTTTGAAACATTAAAGACTCAACACGACCTGGAACCCGGATTGGAGATAACCATCAATATATGCCAGAGTTGCATTATTTAAAGCTAATATTTATTACATCGGTCCTATGATATACGCATTACGAAATTTTTGCTAAATAATTTTGCTAAAATAATGGTAGAAAGAAAAGTACCAAAAATTCGAAATCTGAATATTTTTCGAGTTACAGCGCATCAATCAAAATTTTTATCTATTTATTTTTGACTTATTGTAAACATTTCTTCACCGATTAAATTGAAAATCGGTACATAGTTTAATCATAGTGATCTCTAACTTGCTGGTCAAAAATTATTTTTCCATTTTGCCACTGGATGGCACTTCATCTGTAATCCAAATTTCAATTTCCGCATATATTTTTTGAAACGATAAATGTCGCAAAAAGGAATACGCGATTTAAAACATTAGAAAATACTGGACAACAAATTGGACAAAGTGGCCTTATATTTAGTTGGAATCGCAGCAAATCAACGTCGCACGAACCGACCACAGTCTACACACTCTTATAATCGATAACCGGTCTAATGGAACCAGATGGAAATCGCTGGCGGCTGTGTGCCATAAGAAGTTATCACTTCAAAAATTCAAAGTCTCAAATTCTATTACAATAATAAAGTATAACAACCCTCTAGTTGCATCTGCAAATACGTTTTAGCAAACTTTTCTAATGACTTTATTGACTGGATTAAAAGCTTGCGAAATACGAATACACTTTATTATACCCAGTGATATACAGAGAGGTGTTGATTGTTGCTACAATGTTGTTCTGGTGTAACCTGAGGAGTGGTGAAACACTAAATACTTAAAAATTAAGTTATACAGAGTCAGTTGAATTTTCAATGACGCGCATACTAAAACGGAACCCAAGAATTGAAAAGAATCAAAGTAATCACATCGCTTCCGACTCCCTCAGTAACAAATATTTAACACTTTTCAACACGTGTGTTCATAAGGGATTAAAAATTTCATCCGAAAATACTCAACCATGATGCAATATTTCTATAACTCTCTTCACTCACCTATTTAACATAGAGGAATTTAACTTGCATCCTGGTCCCTATCAATATCGGATACCGCAATGGTAGCTGCTGGGTGAACGGCGGTCAGAAGAGGAGTCGATTGACTGGCTTGACCATGTTCCCCACTCAAGTTTTGCGGAAAGTTCAGGTCAATTGTATGGAGTGAGGGAGTCCTCTGAGGTGCAATATAGATCTGAAAAGTGGTTAAATTTTCGGATTATTGCATCCTCATGGTTAGATTAAAGCATTACCAAAATCTTGTCTCTGGGCTTCGAAACATTTGCTTTCTCCATAAGTGTCCTAAAAGCTACAGAACTGAGAAAGCGAGGGTAGCTGTCCCGTTGCATCAACGTGTAGATTTGTAATTGAGCTTCGTCATACATACTTGGATGAGGGTTCGGCAGTTGTTTTTTTACAATTTCACGTACTCGCGAGTCTAAAGACACCTGCAATAAATTTAAAAAATTTAAACTCATAAACCAACATCAGCATTTATTTATCGAAATATTCAAGAGCAATAACGAATGGTGATTTTATTTTTATTACATCGTTCATGTAACATATTTTTTTATAATGTCAGTCCAGCCCAAAACACACATCTTTAAATATTTCTCTTTATCCGATATCCATCTTTTTTTGTAAGGAGATTAAATGCCCCAAAGCAATCCCATTTTCTGATTCTTTAAGGTTTCCTGTGTTTTCTCAAATAACAAATGTAAAGGGATTTTGATCCCATATACGCCGTTCTATGGATGTTTAGAATATCTTTGTTTAGCTCGTTGACTTTTTTAACAATACTAAAGCTCTAAATCCCTATTTTTACCTTTAAAGGATATTTACTTAATACGTTATTTGGTAGAAGTCAGACGTATACTGATGTGACTTGAAATTGTTGAATTAAATCACAGCTATATGTATATCATCAGCAAAACATTTCCGTTATTGATTGTATAAATAAATTAGTATACAGAATACATATTTTTTTGATACATTTTTTTGAAAATTCCCTTTAACATTGAGTGTTTACATAAATAGAATCCCACTGCTGGCCGTAAGCTAAGCCGCTGTTAATATTATACCGAACAACCTTCGAAATAAATAAGAAAATATTTCCGTCAAAGTAGTATTTCAGAACGTTTATTTCAATCGTCTGCGGTTTTAATAAGCTATTATTTGAAAAAGTCTGTAGAAGAGATAGTAGGTCAGCGATAGCGTAGAAAAATTAATTTAAAATCGATAGTCCTCGACATCTCAGAGGTGTTCGCCAGCATTTGCTCTTATTGTTCGCGTGGTTCTATGTTGTACAGCATTGAAGTTTCACACCCGATAACCATTTATTTTAATTAAACTACGTTTGCTCGGAAAATTTTTAGAAATAAAGAACAAGTCAATATTAATTAAAGAGATCGAGTTACTGATTTTAAGTATTAGTTCATAATACTCAATATTCATAATATTCAATAAAATATACATTGCATTTTAATACGTAAAATAATAAAAAAATAATAATTATACAGCTCGAGTAGGCGTCCCAAAAAATAGGAGTTAAGTATTTTAATTAAGAAACAAGTCAAGCATCTGAATAATGCTAATTGAGCAAAATAATTCATATTTCATAGAATGTCCCACAATATCCCGACTAAGCTACTACATTTTTATTTCTTTACAGGGCGAATTGCTTTTGAGCCTTATCCTTGGCTTCATCAATACGCACTAATTGATGCAGATCGATTAAAATAGGGCGAAATTGTGCAATTTCGGGCTCAACAAAATGCTGTTTTGAAATTTGAAAAATTCTAAATACCTCGATATCAACTGCGGTAAAAGTGAACATATATGATAATAGTAAAATAGCCCAAGAAAATATTTATAACTTGAAAAGGTGATTTAGTACAAATAGCATTCAGTTGTTCCAGACTTATTCACTGTTATAATGACGGGAAAAGTCTGTTTGAAAATTTCACCTAAAGTTCGTATATTGTTTATTAATAAGGGGAATTTTTTGAGTATTTCGTTATTGTATTATATCATCTCCCATTCTTCAAATAAAATTCATTAAATGAAATTTATTTCAGGTTTTGATCAAATAATCCACTCATGCAAAGTTTTCTGACAGACATCTGAATTTCATATTCAATTTAGAAACTTTTTCTTCGCATTTTTGTTGGGGCTGTATAATATTTTATAAAAAAGAAGCATTAACACTTAGAAACTCATATCTCTTCTAAATTTTCCATCTGTCATAGTCACTGCATTGCGTTTGAGATAATTTTCTCTAAAATCACAACAAATAGAACAATTACTCAACATTTTGGTTCAAATATATTTTCTTACTTTTTCCGTATATTCATAATTTTCAACAGAATTAGAGGACATTTGATGGTGTTGATCATGTTTATCGCGCAATGTTCGTTACTATATTTTGTATGAACAGTACCAAAAGATCTGTATATGTTTTCCTGCTCTTTCAAAGATAAACGAAAGCTTGAATCTTTTTAAAGGTGTAGTGCAGAGTTCCCCATCAACTAGTGGAATATTTAATATATTTTATCTATCAGTATAATAACTGCTTATTATATGAAATATTATAAATGGGGCAGTTTAAAGTATAATTGTCACAAGAGATGATCTAATATTACTTCTTCGGGTCTTCGACAAATTAAAAAGCTTTGCGACCGTATTAAGAAACTGGACGATGTCTTAGCTAGCAGCATCCACATGTATTAAGTTTGTGTTGACAGTTTTTGTAATTATTAAACGATTTAGCCACTAATCTGTTGCAAAATTTTCAATTTTTAGCTTCGCACCAACAAGCTCTCCCGGAATAACTATTATTATACCGTGTTTTAAATACGGAATAGTGACAATAATACATATAATAATACTGTAAATTAATGCAGATAAATTATCACGAACTGAAATAAAATGCGTTAACGATTTATTTCCTTGCTGTTGCTTAAATAACTACGAGGAAATAGATTGTTCGTCTCCGAGAAATAGGACCGAAACACTTCGTAGGAAGCTGCTGGTGGCACGCTTAAGATTTGTAACTTTTGTTAAAATGCTGTTTGTGTTAATATATGATGTCTCCATAATAATATGCTACATTACGTGAATTGAATATTACGTCTGAAGCTGTAAGGTGCATTCATGGCGTTAGTGTAAAACTTATACTATAGTGGTTCAGATGGGTTAAAAAGAAGATATGCTTAATTATGAAGATCTATTGTAATATTTCAATATGTACTATTATTTATGCTTACTGGGAAATTTATTAGGAATATATTTACGGCCATACTTTCTTCCCCCCAATTTGCCAGAAGCGAAGTTCTGTTATTCAGATCCAACGGAAGCCTAAGGCCTATATGTACAAATATTTTCAGATGAATGCGTACAACTGTAAGAAGATAAATATATAACATCCAAATCGTTTTCCAACTGACAGAGAATGTTGTCTTTTACATGCGCGACTTTTATTTATTTTTATCCAATTTAGTGGAAACGCGTAAAGCCGAAAGAAAAATCTGCCACTGTAAGATATTGTTTTTATATTCTGTAATTATGTGGCAAAACGATTTCCAATTGGATTTTACGTCTTTCCATATTATTTTTCGCCTCCAGCTTCTCCAAACATTTAAATTCCCTTTAAAGATTAAACTTGAAACCCAATGTGTTTCGATTCGGCTTCTTTTCAGATTGTATGGATCTAGCGGTTGAAAACATATTTAGAACCACAATTTAAATTGTTTAGTTTATTGGATGTTATTTATTGCTTATCTAAAGTTTATATTTTAATGTTTGTGTGTTATTGAAGTAGAAAGCATGATATTTGAACTAATTGCTACATTTACAATTAGGCCGTCGAAAGAATACAGACTTCCGACGAACTATAAAGATCAGTTTTGGAGATTTCTCCCATTTAAAGCATGCGAATATGTTCATAATATTAGTCAATCACAGGAATTTTTGATGATGTATAATAACAAACATCTAACACCATGCAAAAATATCCACGTTGATTTAAATACGGAAGCTTTGATACGCTGTAGAAAAGCTAATGTGCGAATTGCCAGGTTTCCCGAAATATAACTTCGGTAAATGTTCAAGAAGTTTTGACCATGTGTTACGATTTCCGCGGAAGTTTCATATATTTATTGCAACAAATCAACTTAATTTAATTTATTTTACTTTATGACGTGCTAACTAAAACGACCTTAAATTTTCTTCGAAACACCGTCAGCTTTATAATTTTTGATCCTCACAATTCACATGTACAAACCGTATATAAAAAGCAATATCCAAACAGGAAAATTATCTACTAGAGAATTTGTTTCGCTTTCAATACGGGATAAATGAGGTTCATTCAGTTTTCAAAGTATTTCTTGTGCCATTTGATTTATCGAAAATAAAATTCACCCAGATGCTTAAGAAACCTATAATGAAAGTTTTTTCTTTTAGCTAAATATGTAAAATAAATCCTCAAGTGAAATTGGTTTATTTTTAGCTGAAATTGATGTTTAGTGGGTATATTAACTCATAGGATCATTGATTAAAAATTTCATCAATTGGTAACCGTCTAGTTTATAATGTTATAATGTTTTAACCAATTTCTCAAAGCTTATCCCGATCTAAGCGAATCAACTGCTTTAATTTTTTCTGATATAGTTCCATTACTCACATATTTTAATAACGTCTTATAGATACCACCTTTCCAATTTACACTTTGAGTTCAATATAAATTTACGCATAGTAGGATTTTAAAGCTTAATTAACGTAATATCTTATTAATTCGTTCTCCTAATTTTTCAGGAAACGAGTGTTTATGTGGGGGATAGTTATTCATATAATTTAAATTTGAAACCTTTTGAAGGCCCAATGGTTTGAAGTTCATACAAATCCACAAAAATAAAGTAAAATAGTAGTAACTAAACACCGGCGATCGATTACCAATTTAGGAAACATTTCGCCCAATCACTAAAAATATTTCTGTTGCACTTGTTCGGTTGTTCGATATTTGTAGCTTTTCTCTAATAATTGCTCTCTTAATATTATTGTGCAAATGTTTCGAATTAGCTTGTAACCTAAATTGGATTATAGATATAGCAACCACTTTATATTTATGAAAGTAATTTATGCCGGTTTACAAATTACTCGTTAAGGCGGTTATGTCAAAAAATGTGTTTTGTCGAGCTTCAATGTATTTTGCTTCTAAGAGAGAATAACAGGTGAAACATTTTTTTGTAACATGTTTACGTATATAGGACGGACAAAACAGAAATTCTTTAGGTTTGAACAAATTCAAGTACAAGAACGAAAATTTCAACAAGTGTTGGTAACTACAAACAAATTTAAATAAAGTGCACTAAAAACAAAACCAAACAAAAAAAAGGGTTTCGAAATTTATTGATATTAATAACTAACTGCACGTCGAGCAAATTAATATGTTTTATAATTACCGAATTAACTAAAGAACTGCTACTGTTAAATATATATTTTTTTCAGTGACCTACTGCGGCATAATATCAACTTAATTTAATTATGTTTAATTTGTTATTTTAATGTGCTTCATTTTGCCGTTTAATCGAAAATATCTCGATTAAGCGGCTCTCGATTAAAGCGGCCACAGCGACTCGTTGAGACATTAACCAATATATTTTTCGGATAAAATGGAAGAATAAAATTAGCTGTTTTAAAAGTTGGGAGACAGGTTGATAAAAGAGTTGCAGTTCATTTTAATTACACATATTTTCCCGTATGTGGCTTTTCTAAACTTACATAATATGCAACTTTTACTGATGAAAAAATCATTATTATTAATTGATTCCGAACAATATCTATGGAACTGAAAATCGTTAGAATATCGAAGTTGGAAATATGCTTTTGAAAAAACACGAAGGAAACAATTAGATTTACATTTTGAGAACATCGTCATAGCTTTTTGGATTCTTGCCGGGTTCCACTATAACATTGCACCTTGAAAATTCACATGAATTACCGCGCCAGGAATTAAAATTTAAATGGATATTGGTTTAAAGTAACACAGCATGAACTTCATCTGCCTATTGTGCAAAAGCCATTTAGGAAAGTAAATCGTGTTCATGACGCAAAACATAACACTTTCTTTCACATATTATTTTTGTATTTTATAACTCATTTGCGTCTAGTAACTTGCTTTCCCCAAGCCAAAATATCTGAATCAACTTTGATTTTTGTATTGAATCGCCAACAAAGTCAGATTGAAAATGCACATATTCGAATACAAATTATTAACTTGCTGCGAGTTAGAATATTCAAAAAGCAAACAGCATTTGCATGTTTATAAGCTTGCGAATAACTACTGGATTACGTCGATATTGCTGGTTAGCTTTAAAGATTTTTCGTTGGAAACCGAAGTCCTTTCATGGCCTGCATATTCATCTGATTTAACACCTTGAGATTTTTCAACAGATTTTTAAATAAAGGATAAACTAGATGTCTAGGAGGAGTAAGTTTTGATGAAACTGTAGCTTGTTAAAATACATATTTCATTAACAAAATAAATTACCAATTTTGTTATTGCAAAAATGAATCATACTCATGTAACATCGGTTCAACATTTTACAGGTAAATAAATAAGAAAACTCGTCATAGTAATATATACAGAGTGGTTCATGAAATAAAAATAAAATTAAGTAAATTTCGGAAAATTTTTCATTACGCACGTTGGTATCTTGAAATTTATTTATTTATGAGAATGACATGTTATGAACAAATTAATAAGAACTCATTACGAAACGCTATGTTAGGCGGTTGGATAAATACTCGTTGAAATTGGTAATTTATTTTACGAACACTGTGTATGTCAGTTGTTTTAATCCATTGCATTTGAAGATAAGAAAACGGGAATGCAGATTGAGCAGTTTGGGCAACCAGCTGATAGCAAAGCTTTCATTTGTTTAATTTGCACAAAAACATGAAACATATCGTATATTATTGGTTCATAAAATGTGCAACCGCAAACTTATAATTGTAGTAAGCTGCATATAAAAAAGTGAAGCGCAGGTGCCCTAAAATAATATTTTTCAACGGGGATAAGAATTAAGTAATATATGTAGGTGTTTCAGAAGAATCATTAACTTTTTAACGTTTCACAGAAATTCAATTCAAATCAATCATTTCAATTTACACCCAACATTCTTAAAATTGACTGGGAAGCATATTCTTACCTCTGTGGATGAATCTGGATGAATATAATTCATGTAGATCAGGCCAGATCTTTTCTCGGTGTATGTTTTATCCGTGTGCTTCTTAAAGTCCTCACAAGCCAACCAAAATAGAATATTTTCTTCAGAGTATTCACCCTTTAAGAAGTTTCTAAATACCTTTCTACCCACTGAAACAAGATAAAGGAAATCGATTGTTATCTGATCCAAAATAATTTTATTATTGCAAGTTGAAGTCCAGAAATATCTGAATAAAATCATTAACTTTTTTTATCGCGTTTCGCTTTGTCTTTATTGAAATAAATGAAGACAAATCGTTCATTAGAGCCCTGAGGCATTCGACGTTCATGTGACTTATTGAATACTCGGATTACTTTTTAAATCGAGGATAAATCTTGAGAAATATAAACCATTAATTAACATTGAGCACGGTAGAAAAACTTCTCGAGAGTTCAATAAACATGATGTAGGTAATTTTAGATAATTTTGTTTTAGTTTCTTTTTAATATTATCTGGCCACTTACCAGGGCTGTTCATCAGCTGATCAAAGGATTTTGACCAGCTTCGAAGTTCATCTGGAGATACACGGATTTCTTCCTGCGCCCCCTTTCTCCTGCAAATTTACAAAATTTGTATTACTTTTATATTATTTTCTTCTGTTTATCTAGAACTGTCAGCTAACAATAGAAGCGCCGAAATGGTCATTTGGAATTTTTTTATCTGTAATTTTCTAAAAGAACTTTGACATTGTTTTCTAGATTTATGACCTTTGAATGTAATTAGTAAGTAGTTTAAGAATTATTCAGAGAAATGGAAATACAGAAACTTGATAATGGTTTTTAGTTACATTTACCTATTGGAGCTGAAGGAGTAGTGACTTGCAGTTCGGGTGAAATTATATTATGTCCAATTTAAAAGACTGATGTTGTTAGTAGTTCAGGTTTTCCCTAAGTATAAATAAAATTCGTAACACTAGATGTGTAAAAACAACTGTCCTGACCATTAAAAACCTCAAGGATCAGCATACACAAAGAAAATACAATAATACTTTTGAACTTTAGGAAATCATTGAGATATTGGCTTACCTACAGAGTGGTTTAAAACAAGCGTTATTCTTGTACTTGGAGAGTACGAAAAGATATTATGTTTCAAGAAGAGGAAAGGTATTATGTTTCAAGATTTTCAAATTAGCCATTAAGACATATTTTAAAGTAGTTCAATTAAACATTCCAATTAAAAAAGTGCGAAATTTTCTGAAACTTATGCATATTGCATAGTTTCTATTCGAAAACATTGCGCTTATATGCATATTTTTATGTACATTTTTTGAGCTCTTCTACATCTAAAATCTGTAACAATGCACAGAATCCACCACGCTGATATTCTTTGGGGCGACTCTAAATTAGTCAAATTTTTGCGTCATAGGATACTTGTTGTGTCTTAGAAGCAAACTGATTCTTTTCGGAAAATGCGAGTTGTCGCTGAAAGTCAAAGTTCCGCATCTGAATTGCCGAATGAGGAAATAATGTTGCATTGCCAACATCAAGAACTAATTATAATTTGATGCCTAACTTGATGGAATTTTTGGGAGCCCATAGCTTTTTTAAAATCTACGAGCAGGTCAAAACAAACTAAAAAGACGGTTAATAAGTTAATACAGTAAATTTTTTCGTAGCGATAACATCAATAAAACTTGTTTAATCTAGTTTTAATTGTTATAAACAGTACTACTTTTTCCTTAATTTTGTATTCTGTCATTTTGATGGTCTTTTTTGTGTTACACTTTCGTAATTATCTTTTGATTATCACTTATTTAGCCATTAGAATGTAAACTGATATTTTGAACAAAAGGAACTTTGCTGATACTTTTATATATTTCTTTGCAGCACGACTTTTTACTGACAATCTCTATTCTGAAGGTAATGAAATGCGAAAAGGACTCATTTATTTCTAGAAAACAAATTTTTCATATTAACTCGTCATAAGGATTTATCAATTATTCAGTGATTTAGACATGGGATTATCATGTTCTTGGTTACTTAGACTCCTTGGCTGCTAAATTTAACTAAATAGTTTATTTGGATATTACTTGTTTTCACATGTTGGAAATTTCTACTTCGCTGTTGTTGAATGACTGGGACTTAATTTCCCTTGATTCTTTTAGCATTTGAGTTTCTCAGAAAAATGGCAGAATGCTGGAGTTTTGCATAAAAAGCAACAGTAGGAAAATTGAAAATTGGTTAATTTCTCGCTGGGTATTTAGTCACAGTTGCGTGAGAGATCCTTCAAATATCTCGAAGCCAGCAATTTCCGAAACTGAGTGCTAGAAGCTCCATGGAAGAATGGTCCCATTACGGGCAATTTTTAAGCTTTTGAATAAACTTTGATCCATACTTTTGAAGCTGCAGGCCTACGCTTAAAGAAGAAAATTTCTGAGTCAATTTTTGGCGAATATTAAAACGTCTCGTAGGCTTCTTCCACGCCTGGCTACTAATGAATCTGACAAAGTGAGCTGGAAATACAGATACTGGATTCCATGGATCATATCAATGACGCAAGTCTCAAACATTCTCAAGACAAACGAGAAGTGCCTTCAACGCAGGCGAAAAGCATTTCAGAAGGTCGAAAGCAAAGACTTTTTCAAAAAAAGACGGGATATTGGGGCACAAAAGGGTGAACGGTTAGAAGAGGAATACCTGGTTGTGAAGCAACCAGAAACGGCGCAACAGATTTGAATCTTTTAGGAAGTTAGTAAGCGTTAAAATTGGAAAACTTTAAGGCATACTTTATAAACGGACTGAGAAGCTTTGATACTCTTTGAAGCTCTTTTTACGTATATGAACAATCATCAGACAGCTATAAGTTGCTGTACCTCCCGTGGAAAAGTTCCTCTCTGAACTGCATCTCTACATTAAATGTATTTCTCCAACTGAATGAAAGAAGCCCGTCTATAAGGTTTGTTACTGAAACGGGAACTCGGATGTTGCTTAAAATGTGCCTGTAAGACCCACTTGGTCAAAGAAAATTCAACGTTCGATTGTTGAGAAGGCAAGACTTCATCCGAAGGAGTTCCTTTGTTAATTTGGTCTTGTCTGTCTGTGTGGTGTACTAGAAGCTCTTTTACCCAATTCCGACAAAAATCATCCGATCAATTGGAAGCTCAAAGCTTTTGCTAAATTTCAATCAATTGAACGTTGCAAAAGAGCGACAAAGTACCGCATGTTGCGACGTCCATAAGACAGGAACTATATCAGTTTGATAGGTTTTGGGTCTTTCTACCTCTTCTTGCTGCCTGCAGCAGAATTAATTATCTGAACGTAGAAATAGGAGAACACTATTTTTTACAGAAAATAATAGAGCCTGTCTTTAAATTCACAAAAAAAATCAAATGGTGTTCGGTCTGGTGGTTGTGGTGGCCACCCAAGAGAGCTTCGCCTATCAATCAATTTAATTGGATAATGATCATCCAGCCATTGTCTAACTGGAAGTACATAATTAGGAGGGAGACCGTCTTGTTGGAAATGTCTTGAATCTTCGTTTAAAGATTTTCTTGAATGTCTGTCTGGTTTTCTACTTTGTGAATAATTTAAGGGTCGATCCCATTACGAAGCACCTCGGCACAAACTGCACCATTGAAGTTTCAATCAAATAAGTTTGATTTATGTCCGTACTTATGTAGTATCTTGACCGAGTAAAACCGAAATGTTTACGTTGCCAGAAGGGTTAATATTTCATCCATTTTAAATAAATAAGTAATCGAGATAATAAGCAATTGAACAATTTTGTGTTACCATTTTAATAGGTCAGTAACTATTTTATTGAATGTAACGTGATGCAATACAAGCGTAAAGCATTTTAAATAGCTTTAAAAAGAGTTATCACCAGTAAGGTGTTGCCATTAAAAACTTTAGAGCTGGGGCGACTAAGGGCTAGAATGTTACTGGGGGTAGTTTAGTTGACACACAAATTTGGTTCCATCTATTTCTTATAGAAACGGCTCCGAGGATTGATTGAATCTTTTGTTGTTGAATTGTGACCCTGTGTAAAGAAAACCTTCAGAAGCTGACCATTTATGTAGCACTTGTTCAAATTTTTTTACATGTAATATGAAATTTGCAAAATCGGCCCAGGAATCGATAATAGGTTCTTCTGATAAAATCTAATGGAGTCCTTAAGCAGACACAAATGATGCATGTGTAGCGCAAAAAAGGCGTGACCAGGCGCTTCTACTGCAAGACGTTTTTTTTATCAAGAAATATTCTTCAGTTAACGACTTACGTAGAAATTTTTGATTCCGCTTCGTGTGATGTAGTTTTTGTTCTTTCATTATCGTCATTTTTATCTCCGTGATTCGACCTAAACATTGCAAATTAGGACATTTCAATCTGAAGCTATATGTTGACATACCAAGGACATTTGCAGCAGCAACATAAAAGCATCTTCGTACATGGTTTCGACCTGAGTTGAGATCCTTGGGGGCTGTTGGACTGAGGTCCATTTTGAGGGGGGCCATCTACCCCAGCGGGGGTTTCGGCCCCTTCTGCGGGTGCTCTCGAGCTAGGTGACGTGGCTAGGGCTGAGAGCGAGTTGCCTTCGGGCCCGGTATGTTCCTTACATTTTGTTTTGTGTGAAGAACTGGTTGATGCCCCAATTGCGCTGATAGAGGTGGTCCCGCTTGTAGGAGATGCGTTGTGGACTGTCGCTGGTGTAGAACTGACCCGCTCAGTAACGCTACAAGACATCTGAAAAGAAGAACTCTTGTTATATAATAATTTATAATTACATTTGAACTTTTTTAATTACTGCCATACTTCTACTAGTTTGAAAATAACGATTAAACTTCACTTAGAAACACACTTTTGTTGGCGATTGGAAGTAAACACGCAAATTTCATATTAGGGATCGTGTGGGCTGAATCGAAGTAGAGAATGGTCGTTTTCGACAAATTAGTTTACATAGGGTTGTCCCTCCAATTCAATTTGTATAGTACAAAGTAATTGCAATTATGTTCAGTTCCCTGGTTTCCTTTTGAGCATCAATGTGGAGCACTGTTGATCGAATGGCTTTATTTGTTAAAAGATATATGAATGTCGACATTTAATCAAAAGAAGTAAATACTATCCAAAGTTAATTAACGAGTATGGTAACGACGCAAAATTTTAAATGAACTGGCTTAATAATCTACTAAGTTTTTGGCTCTGTCGTTCCAATTTCAGTTGTATGCGTAACTCAATTTTCGATGAAAGGTCACGACAATCTAATATCCCTGGAAAACATTAAACACCTTTTTGGATTATCCCAGATTTATTTTCAATTAATATTATTAACTCAGCGATATGCATCGCTGTTGAAAATATTTAAATTATGCCTTTGAAGCACGTAAATGAAATAAATTTGCCGTTTTCCTGAATTTTAGCAGACAATTTTAATTTGGCCTTAAATAATGATCTCGGGAAAGGTTGCAAAACAACAAAAGCTGCTAAAATATTTCTACAGTCCCGTAAAAAATTTCTGCAAGTTTCAAAATGTTACGAAGAATTCAAATCAGGAATTTGTTTCAACGAAAGTTTTTGCAATACAGATGAAATTTATTTGAAGCCTTTTGTACTTAAGAATTTGATTCAACCCTCTTTCGACCACCCACAGCCAGTAAAGGATGAATGTACCGAGTGAGTCTGAATGTTTAAAATAGCTTCTTAAATTATTAAAAAGTATTGAAATTCACTAACTAAATGCTTATTTCAGATTTACATTGATTTTTTCAGGTATTGTAACTCTAATTGCATTCAATCCTTATACATTCAACTTTTTCTTCGGTTGATTAATACTTGCGGATCATTAGAGGTTTTACGGCGGCAACTTCAAAACACATTTTCAATATATCGTTTGCTTTATATCGCAATAATTCGTTTCACAGGCAGTTTTTTAAGAAACGTTCTTTATGAATATCTATTTTAACCTGTTTAATGATGAGCGACTTTTATATTAACATTCCGTAATGCGGTCCTCGAAAAGCGAGCATGAAAATGTCGTGTATTCGATTTGTTTTCGGTTTTCCCAACTGAATCTGTACTGAACAACTGTACGCAGTGAATTAAGAGGAAAATAGCTTTATATATAAATATTTCATAAAACTTAATCGATATTTCAAGGAACATACTTAATACTCGTAGTAAATTTAGGATTATTTTTATGGGTAAACCATACGCAAAAACATAATCCACTGGAAGGCGGCCATAGTAGTTTCCTCTGAGCTTTCAATATATACTGCTGGTGCAATATAAGTTTAATATTTACAGAGTGGTACAAGCTTAATTATAAGAGGAAATTATTAGCGTGATTAAGGTCTTGAATATTTCAGGTGCAACTTGTATCATATTTCAAATGCAGTGGTTTTTATATACATTTACTTAGTCTATGAACGGTTTTAGGATCGGCTGAAAAAAATACACACAAATGCCTATTATAGGCAAATTATATGAATATTGTATGCCTATTATATGAATAGAAAGAGAACATTTCGATCATTTTTTTAAGTCAAATTTCACTTCTGTCAGTCTATTTAATTGGACTAAAAGCTACTTTAACACATTCTTGAAACATTTAGTTTACATTTTATGGTGTCATTTACAGTTCGAATTATGAGTTTGTATGCGTTATTTTAAGTAAAATCCGCTCATTACTACTTGCTCATTAAAATTAATTGTCAATATTTTCAGAAATGATGCGTTGTTCGAAGAGAACTCAAGACACATATTTTTTAAATTGTTCATTGTTCCATGGAAACATGGTCACTCGATAGCTATGACATGGGCTAATTTTTCTTAAAATATCTAAAGCGGTTTCCGACATATTTAACATATTTAGTTATACATTTTATGTTTTTTAGCAAAAATTTAGTATAAGTAAATTAATTATTTTGGTTTCTCTATGGTCTTCGTTGCCTAGGGCAGGTTTACATAAACTATCTTCCACTAGATCTGAAGCGGTCTTCCTCCATAATTTGAATATATTTTTTTAATGGCACAAATAGAGCTCAACATAAACTTAAAAATAAACTGAGAATTCTGTTAAAATTTCTGAGTCTCCCAAGTATTTCCATTGTTGAAAAGTTTGGGAAACCCTGGTCTAATGTAAATGTCTTCACTCCAGATCATCCGCATTATTTATCAGTTTCGATAAGTTAGGGATGTACTTACGATATCAGAGGGAATAGAGATCGAGCTTTCAAGTCTTCGGTAGTATAGTGGTAAGTATCCCCGCCTGTCACGCGGGAGACCCGGGTTCGATTCCCGGCCGGAGAGAACTTTTTAATTTTTCTATGAAAATTTAAAATTTTATAATAAATTTGCCTCTTTTGATGCTTCAAAGGTATTTGAAAACGCTGTATAATGATAATATGTGATATCGATAGTAAATGTAGTAACAATCTGGTACTTAAAATTATCAAATCAAATTAATTTATCAAATCAAAGTTATTGGTTGAGTAGGAAATTAAAGTAGATTACTTTGCAAAAAATTAACATTTTTTCCAAGGCGATCAAAAATTTTCCGATTACAATTCACGCTTAAACACTTAAGGGCGGCACTAAACATCTACATTCGATAATTAAAACAAATCTATTTTGGACTGTTCAGGGTGTTCAGCATTTATTAAAAAAAAAATGTGAACGTGGTAAAAACTAAAGTTGTTCACTATTACTTAAATTTTTAAAATCCTGGTTAAAATAAAACCATGAATGATCTAAATGGCATATAATAGTATTTTTTTAATTGGACCACCCGTTATATTTACAGAGATCGATAAAAATTTTCTCCGGGTTTCGCAAAAATGTATTTTAGTTAAGTTCTATATTGTTGAGGCTGATTAATTGTTTTACAACTGGTTGCTGGGTATTTGGCCTCAAAAATTTTTTGAGGTTGAGAAAATAAAAAATCAGCTTGAGCCTAAGTGTGTCGCAGGATACCCTCTAGGTGATAGTTCTTGATTACTTTTTGATAAATAATTCGTTCTTATTGCGAAAAAGGAGCACTATTTATCAGTCTGTAGATAAGACGTGAGAAAATTCTGTCTTTTTTAAAGATACAAATTTTTGAGGCGAAATACCCAACCAGCAGTTTGTAAAAAAAATTATTTTGTCTATACCCTTTGAAGCCGTTTTATTAGTGACTAATCAAAGAAGGGTTGAAATGGCTCCGTTAAATGTTAGTAGCAAATACTCGACTCAAAGCACTCGTTACAGTGCAAAACAAAATAACGATCATGAACAATGCAATAGTCTGCGTTTGTTCTATCAAAACAACGAAAATGGATCGGCAACGAGAAAATAATATAATGCGCTGTATTCCATATCGAAAAAATATTAAGAATGTAGAAAAACGATTTTGTAAACGGAAATCTATTAGAAGAAAGAAAGAAAATTTGTTAATGGATCTGAAGGTTTAAATATCTTTAATCCACCATATCCATCCAAAATAAATGATCTAGGGGAGATGTCAATTTATGAGGAAATCCTGTACATTTCGCCTTAGCCAGCTCAAAAAGAGAGGGGTATCAACGGCAAATATATATGTCTAAAATAAAATAATATAAAACATAAATTTGTCTAAAACCTTACGAATGACACATTACTTAACTCACACTCACTTTTCCATAACGTTTATTTTCCGTCAAATTAGCAATAATTTATTTAAATGTTTACTGCTTTCTTACGTCTCTCTGCGAGCGAACGCGACGTTCTTAAATTGCACCCCTAAAACAATTCACATGGAAAATAAATATTATTACTAGTGTATGTCTTTGCAATCTTGAATCGCTTTGATTGATTAAATTTGAAATGCTATTGTTCTGGTTTCTTAAACACCGTAGAAGCTACGCTTTTCCAGTCAAATATTTTCAAATTTCCATTCCGCCTCAGTACCCTTGAGTATTTTCCAATAATAACTTCATATCCTTGTCTGTCTATTATAATATTTTGCTTTTTGATTCATTTCTCCACCAACCCGAAAATTGTAACCGGGGGCAAATAAAATGTGGATCTCCCTCTATGGCAAATACGATTTCGCAAAGAGGAGATGCGTCTTTTGCGAGCCGGATGTCAAAATTGAAATAATGCTTTTCTTATTTGTTCCTTACAGCCTGTAAACAGATCGACTTTGTGTGTTCACATTAAAGCTCACTTATCTCGGCAATTATTTTTTCCTAAAGCGCTGTTAAATCTTTGTGTGGAAATAAATATTGTTGAATTCGCAAGATAAGACCCAAATATTAGAAGATTTTGGTGTTTGATCGTGTTTAATGATAATTTCTTTAACACTGTTCAGCGAAGGAAAGTAATTACTTCATCGCAAAAGTAATTAATTTTTGATATAAAATGAACGCTATATGTAGCATTATGTGTTAAAGATTTAGTTATCATGTTAAGTGTAACATTATGCGTTTTAGTTAGAGCTATTTTCTTATATTGAATGAACTTCCAAGCCAATGCTCAAAGTGATTAGAAAATTACAAATTAATTATCTTTTACTTTTGATCTTTTAGTCTTTTACTGAACTCGGTCTATTTCGTAAACTTGTGTGTGTTTCTAAAAGTGTGGTCAAAATTAAATCTTCACCTTCACGTAATTACAAATATCCCAATATAATTACAATATTGTATTTTTACGCAATTTTTTTTTCTGCAGCAATTTTATGTGAATACTTAGTGAACATCTCAATTGCCAGCCGAAGTGTAATATATATT